GAGGAAGAGAAGAGAAGAGGAGAAGGAAACACTTTACACTTTAAAACTAACACCATCGCATATTATCCTGTAAAGATAAAGAAAGAGAATCATTCAAGCTAAAAGCTGAAGCAACAACTTTTTGTATACGCTTTTCCGGATCCTCTGCGACATCATATCATATCATTATCATATCATATCATCTCGACTCATTTCCATTCCATCTAATCAATCTAATTTTTATTTAATTTTGCAAACTTTTTCGCTCTTTAAAGAGGCATTTATCAACGAGTTTTAAATTGTATTTCAAGTTTTTCATTTCATATTTTAGGCTCAGAATTTGTATATCTGAATTAAAACTTAGTGGAAAATCATCAAATTGTTACATTTTGTTTGAATTTTAATGAATAAATTAATCATTTCATTTGACGTCATTTTATGTCTTCATCACTGACCATTATTTTATTTTATTTTATCCATACGCTTCAATATCATATGTCACTTTCACTTTAACAAAATATACTATTTTAAAATTTTCGTGAAATTTTTAAATTTAAATTAATTATTTTTTCTACCATTTATACAATATATTAAGAATAATTACAATAATATTTGATATGTTATTTACCAGCCAAATGAAAATGACAGGGCAATATTACGAGGCTTAATAGATGAGCGATAACGTGACGTGAAACGTCAAGATATATTTTGAGCTAGGAATGATTCTGAATGAAAATTGAATAAAACTATTTTCTGCAAAATATTTCAATCACATTTTGACATCACTTTTCAGTTTATTATTGACAGTTCAATTATTTCAAGAAAAAAACTTTGTCAAGACAAAACTATAAACTTCAAACCCATGTTCCCTCGTTAAGGGATTTAGCCTTATTTTACATACTATCACATTTCTATTTTTTTTCGCATCCATTTGTTTAGAATTTGTTAAATGATTTATCGATACCTATCTATCATTCATCAAATGATTACAGTGTTTGAATTGTTTTTCAAGATTTTCTAAAATTTCAAATGTTATTCATCATTCACAAAAAATCACTAAGATAACGCTCCAAATACATTAGAAAAAAAATGAATGTTTTCCGATATTAACGTGATAATTGGATATTTTTGGGGAGAAAGACTTCTGAAAAACTGATTTCAACTTCCTAACTCAATTGCTAATGTTCAAACTAATAGCAAAAAAAAAAAAGTTTAAATGACTGAAGAGGGAAATGTAAAGTAAGCAGCTAATTGATATTTGAGATCGAACGATCGGATCATTGAGAGAGATGGATAGATGGATTGTATGCAATGTTAATTGTATCACTCATCATATTTCTCCATACTATTTTTTCCTTCTTTTCGATTTATTTATTTATTCATTTACTTTTTTGAGTGGTTAAAATTATTTGAGAAAAGAAGTAAGCTAAGTAATCAGAAGTTAAGTGTTATATATTAATACTTTTTTTTACGTTTTTTTTTTTGATAATTTCAACATTCATTAGTAGCACTAATAGCACTGATATACATATCTAATTCAAATACCCATATTTTGATACAAAATAACCGCCTTACAGCTATACTTAAATATGTATCGGAATATAAAATAGACTTAAATAGTTGTGCGTTCCAATTTTAGCATCGAAATTTATTTGTACGATGTAATTGATAAATGAATTATTCTATGTAACTTTTACTTTTAGATAAATTGAAAGGAAATAGTCATCAGAAACGAATGCTTAGCAAACTTTAGAACATAGATAACAGCTATCGAAATGCCCTTCAGGCGACCTTTAGGAGAACGAATTGAAAATCAAACTTTACCAAATTTCATACGGGTTAGTTCCTATTTCTTGAAGAACAAGAAAGATCGTTTTTTTTTTCTGATAATTCATATTTGAGAACGAAGAAAACTAAAATAAAATAAAGAAAACAGAAATAAGATTAATATCAGATGAAAAAAGAAATGATATTTTTCATCCAAATTAGCTAATTACAATTTTTTTCTTTTTTTTTTTCTTCTTATTAAAATAAAAACTTTTCCTCGAAATTATGATAGGTGAAAAACTAAAAGAAAAAGAATGTACTAAATAATAGCTTTTATTGATTTTAAATTGCCATAAATGTATTGCTTTCAAATTAGAAATTACAATTTTCAATGATAAGAAATTTCATTCCACAGTTAATAATTTTTAATAAAGTTCCGTTTTTTTTTTTTTCAGCCACTTCAAGACAAGCGTGTAGTGGTTGGACAAAATGTGCTACTTGAGTGTCAAGTTGCAGGTCATCCTGATCCGGTTGTGAAATGGCTCAAAGATGATCATGATGTTACACAGTGTCCTGATTATGAAGTTAGTTCCTCCACTGAAAACTTTTCCTTCTGATTCACTTTGGATTTCTTACTTTCATTTCCTCCTCAATTTTAATATCTCTTTTTAAAAAATATTTCTGGTATTTAATTTTTATGACTATTGAAGGTATTTTTTTGTTTTTTAATATTTCAAATTTAAATTAATTTATCTTGCGAAAATTTTTTAATTTTTTGTAAATCTGTCAAAAATTATTCTTATGCGTATTCATATACCATTAAAATATCATTCTTTTGTAATGGTATATCATGCAGTTATCATACATTTCATTGATAGATCATACTTTATTCAGATTTACAAGAACAAGAGAATCAATATCTGAGCTGATAATTATTGCATATAATTTTCCTTTTCTTTTTACGAATCAAAAGATTTTTTGATTGTTTAATTTTGTAGTTTTAAGATAATAAACTGAGAAATGTGATGACATTTTTTGTTAGAAAAGAAAAAAAAAACTCGTAAGAATCGATTAATTATAGTGATTGTTAGAAGTGGTCGAAAGAAAGTAAAATAATGGTTAAAATATAGGCGAATGTTAGTAAAAAAAAAAAATTAAGACGAAATAAGAATTTTACCGACGACATTCTTTATCGAACGGAACGAAATTTCTCTTTCTTTTCAATTCGTTTTAAGTTAGCACAATTACTTATTTTTATTTGCTTTACTAATTGAATATTGAACTTCTCATCAAATAGCAATTTTCTAGAGATGATGAAAAATTATTTTAGCTCAAAAATTTCAACACATTCCAAGGAGCTAAGACGATGTGACGACAGTGTACAATGTCGCAAATGTCGCAATGCAAAAAAAAGAGCATCTTTTTTTTGTGTATTATTTATTGTATTTACTTAATTATATATTAACAATGATTGCAAAAAAAAAATTGAGAATGAAATGTTGCAGATTTCAAGCGTCGGTGTCAAACATCATTTAGCAATTAAAAATGTTCAAGCATCCGACAACGGTCGTTTTACGGTTCAGGCAATGAATGCAGCTGGTATTAAGCAATCAACATGCATGCTTATTGTAGCACCGGCACCAACACCAGTTCCTGGTGCAAAAAGTGTCGCGTTAGTATCATTTCAATGCTACCACTATTAAATTTTGTTCTTTAAAAATGAAATTTCAATTTTTACACTTTTAACTTTTGTCTTTTTAATTACAGCTATGGAATTATGCTTGATTTAATAAACTTTTATAAATTATAATGCAATCGTTTTAATGTTATTCGTCAAATAATATTATAGTTTATTTGTTGGTTAATTTGAGTTAAACTTACAAATTCATTTAATTAAAGTCCCATGAAATATGATGCTTGATTGAAATATGAGAATGAAAATAGTTGAATAGCATTAAACTCTCAAAAATAAATTAAGCAAACTTAAGCAAGAATTAAGCAAACTTAAATCTTAAGCAAATCAAAAATGGTACAGCAAAATAAGGAGATGAATTATACGATGTTAACATTTTCATTCCTTATTAATTTTACTAATTTCATGCATAAAATTACCAATGATTTCAATTTCATTAGTGCAAATTTACTAATGTTCAACAAAGAGAAAAGACAAAAAAAAAATGCTTTTATAATTTCAATGTTATACGTTAAAAATTTTTATCTTCAATATTATTCAAAAAAATGATTTTGCTCAAAAAAAAAAAGATAAAATTCATCGGCTGTTTAAAATAATTGTATCGAAGGAAAAAAAAATTTTTTTTTTTTTTGTTACACATTTAAACTATTGGATAGTTGTATATGTTTCAAAAAGAATATAAGAAATATTAGGATGTAAAATGATATGTTGATTTTCCTATGTTTAAATTTCAACACAAATATTCAATTTGATTTGTATGTAATCTTTACGCTTCTGCACTGCATTTTCA